CAGTCCCATCACTGACCTCTGCTACATCAGAGCCACAAGCCTCAGACGCTGGGAGACTAGAGAAGTCGACCCAGGAAGAAAGCAGGACCCCCTCCACATCTCCTCCCGCTGCAGCCCCCCGCTCAAGGTCCCAGGCAGGCTTACCTTTGCTCAGCGTGCCGGTGATGAGCCTGTGTGCGCTCTGCAGGAACTTCACCAGCCCCAGCTTGCAGCGCTTGGCACAGCCCGTCATCCCGACCCCCGGAGAAGGCGGCGGGCGGGATGGGGGCAGGCGGGTCCCAGGGGCTGGGATCCGCCGAATCCACCGGCTCCCCGTCTTCTCGGATCAACTATCCCCCCCCCCCCTAACCTCCCAGACGCAGACGCTCCTCGCTCCTCTCCGGGGGTGGCAGGTGGAAGACCGCAGCTCCGACAGATCCCAACTTGAGAGAAAGTTCCTCAGAATGACAGAGGGCGCGCAGCCCGGAGCTCCTGCAGGCGCAGCTGATCCGATCCCGATCCCGGAGCAGAGCAGGGGGAGAGCTGTGGTTCCCAGCGAGTGTCCGAGGAGCCCCGCTCTCTCTCTCTCTCTCTCTCTCTCTCTCTATTCACGGCTCTGTTCACTGCTCACTCCGTGCGCCGAGCCGAGAGGAAGAGCAGCAGCTGGTGTCCACTTTCAGCACCGCCGGAGAAGGACAGCTCCCCTCGGAGCTGAGCGCAGCACAGCCCTGCTCGCACTCCCTCCCTCCCTCTCGTCAGGCCAGGCAGGATCGGGACTGGGCGCAGAGGCACGACGCTCTGTCTCTCTCTCTCTCCCTCCCTCCCTCTCTCTCCCCCTCTCTCTCTCACACGCAGAGCAGCTCGATCACTTCATCAGCCCTGCTCAAGTGCCAGAAAGGCTGTTCAGAAAAGTGCTTTAAAATACATGCATTTAAAAAAAAAAAAACCAATCCCCAAGCTTAGAAATCACATGAGCGCATCTCCATGTGTTCCTTTCTTTGCTTACAGGAGGAAGCTTGTTTAAAATTCTTACTGCTGTTTTCCTTTGGCTTCTCTGTTTGTCATCTGTGTTGAGGGTTGGAATCTCAAAGGCAGCGATGTGTTGTGTCAGTCAGTGTCGGTGTGTTACTGTGTTGATCAGCCGGTGTGTCAGTCAGTGTGTTAATGTGTTATTCAGCGAGCGTGTCAGTCAACCAGTCAGTGAGTCAGTGACAGTGCGTCAGCCAGCATGTCAATCAGCAGTGTGTCAGTCAGTGTCAGTGTGTCAGTCAGCCAGTGTGTCAGTCGGCGTCAGTGTGTCAGTCGGATCCTCTCTCCTTCACAGAGCTGCGGTGACGACAGATTCCCTCCCCTGCCCTCAGCCTGCTGTACCAGCTGGACTGGAGTCCTGCAATGCAAACAGTGGGAGAGAGGGGCAGACCTCAGACTTCACCACCGCGAGCAGAGAAACTGGGACAGATCCCAGGCAGGCTGCTGACTCTCTTACTGTACCACTGTCACACTCCTCCACTCCTCCACTCCTCCTCCTGCTCCCGGGGAGGGCAGTCTGTTCACACCAGAGGAGAAGAGGAGAGGAGGAGAGACGAGAGGAGAGAAGACAACAAGGGGAGAGAGAGGAGAGGAGAGAGGAGGAGAGACAGGAGAGGAGAGAGGAGGAGAGACAGGAGAGGAGAGAAGAGACAGGAGGGAGAGGAGAGACAGGAGGGGAGAGACAGGAGGGAGAGAAGAGGAGAGACAGGAGAGAGAGGAGGAGAGACAGAAGAGGAGAGACAGGAGAGGAGAGAAGAGACTGGAGAGGAGAGGAGAGGAGAGACAGGAGACACAGGAGAGAGCAGAGAAAGTGAACGCACAGATAGAGGGCGCTGAGCAGATGTGTCTCCTCCTTGCTGGCGCAGTCAATTCTACTCTTATTAACAGAACAAGAGAAAGACGGTTACAGACTGTCAGGACCACGTGGCTCAAGTTTACACCAGTTCTCTTTCCGCCTGGCCCTGCAGGAAACAGCGAGAGACGTCAAGTTCACACTGGAGTAAAGTGATACCGGGGCTGGCTGGCTCTAAATATAACACTGCAGAGATGGACAGAAGCATGCAGAGGCAGAGAGAGGAGGAGGCAGGGGGAGGTCTGGAGATGTTCAGGCTGTGTCCCGGGACCGAGAGGGGTGCTGATCAGTAACACGAATGTGGACACGTGCACAAGCACAGCCGCGGGCAGAGAAAGAGAGAGGGAGAGAGAGAAGGTAGAGAGGATGAGCGAGAGAGGGAGGTGTACTGGGCAAGATGCAGATCCAGTCGGGAGGTTTAAATATAGCGACACATGAGCTCCAGGAAGGCGGGGGGAGGGGGGCAGGGGGGCGAGCTGGGAACGGAACTGAGAAGCACTGAGAAGAAAGGAAGAGGGCTGCAGGCCGGCATGGGCGAGCGCACAGCAAGTGCTGCAGTACAGGGGGTGGGGACACCGAGGGCGACAGCACAGGAAGTTAGCGCTGGGTGAAGGCACAGCGCAGGGGTCGTGTCAGGAAGGCTGTCTGTAACCCCACAAACTCCACTGTCACTTTACGAGGTTTAAATGTGAATGAGCGCGCACTGCAGGGGTTAGGGGCACCTCTGGATTGTGACCGTGCTTGTGTACGCATGCCTGTCTGTTTCGTCAGTAGGAGGCCTTAATGTGCAATGCTGGGGGAGATGGGTGGGAACTGGGCCCCTCCCCCATCATACAGACACATCAGAGACAGACTAATTACAGACAGACACACGTCACGTACAGACACATCAGGGACAGACAGACTAATCACAGACAGACACACGTCACGTACAGACAGATCAGACAGACAGACTAATCACAGACAGACACACGTCA